ATATATATATATATATATATATATATTAAATTAAATATCATGCACACTATGATTTAAAATATATATCAACTTTAAGTAATAAATTCTTATTTGAGAATATCAACTATGAAAAAAGAATTGAAAAATTCTTATTTTCAAAATCAAAGATGAATAAATTTTTCATAAAAATGACATAGTATATATTGGATGTAATTTAGAAACAAATGATAGACGCATATGATTAATTTGCTTAATGTAAATTAACTTTTTCCTCTCTTATTTTAATTAATAATGATATTTTGAAAGATGAGTGATTTTTAAAAATTAAAGAAAACATATGTTATTCTTAACTAAATTGTTGGTAGTTTTCAAAAACAAATTAATGATATAGGTAATTAGGGATACCTCACTCACTCATTATATTTATGTTATTCATTACAAATAATATATATATTTATATTTTGAAAACACCCATATAATAAAGAAAATATTAAATAGTGCATTCAGGGTTTCCAACAGAATTTTTGACAGAATATTCCGTCGGAAATTTCTGACGGATTTGTTCCGTCAAAAATTTTCGATCGATTTTTCTGTCAAAAATTTTCGACAGATATATTCCGTCAGAAATTTCCGACGGATTTGTTCCAATTTTCCGTCAGAAATATACATTTTCCGACAGATTTTATTCTGTCGAAAAATTTCAGTCGGAAATGTTTTTTTTTTCCATCTGTCGGAAATTTGGCATTTTCTTGTAGTGGACTGAAATCGGCCTTGGTTCTAAAACAGTGACAGAAGGAGAAGAGTGAGGCACAACGCAAATAGTTTAACTATCAAACAAAAATTGAGAGGAAAACAATAACTGTTTGATGCTAAACACATGTCGGCTTTTCGACTTGCATGATGTAGAAGAAATATAGTATAGGAAATCAACATTGTAATCCTCAATTTATTTACACGTTTTTTTTTATTAAAAAAACTTGATAAAATGATAATAATATGATCGATTTATTTTAAAAAAATATTTGATTTTCTCTTGATGATAAGAAGTCGACAATAACAATGTCTATATTATATTTTAAGATTGAAGTAGACGGTAACATAGTTTACTTTTCTTCTTTTATAATTTTATTTTAAAATTTAAAAATCGACCATGGCATAATTGTTTTCTTTATTTTTTAAATAATGTTATATTCTACTTTACTTTATTATTATTATTATTATTTTTTAAAATTTTACTTGCTAGTTGACACAATTCACTTCCTTTATATATATTGTAGATAGACTTAACTCAATTTTGTTGGATAAAGAGAATTATTTCAAGCTATCCATAATGATTAAAATTTCAAAAATAATATTTGATATTGTTCATTCCCTCTTTTATTATTGTCCTAAAACAGATAAACACAATATTAGTTATAGTAAATATTCTAATACAAAAAGAAGAACAATCGGAGATTAACTTAGATTTTTTTATCTATATGTACAAGAAAAAATTGACTCATTAAAAATTCAAATGATTTAAGGCTTTAATGATTATATACTATCTCTTTTACATTGTCGATCAAAAAACTAAATTTTTTGATTCATTAGTTATAAGATTTATCTTTGAGATATATTGGTAGATCTAATATGTTACTCTCAGTTTCTACTCTCATGTATTAAAATAATGATTAATCAATAAAAATCATGTTTCACAAGTATAAATTAGTTTTTAGTTATGAATTTTAAAATTTTATGTGAATTATGCCCATAAGTCTAAAAATAATCACAAATCATTATGGATATAACCTTTAAAATAATCAAAGATTAACTCTCATAAATAACAAAGTGCGATTCAACTAACCCCAAGCGTGTGGTTTAGCGATAGGGGTTGATCAACGCTTAAGCAAGGTCAGGAGTTCGAATCCTGCCTTGTGTATGCAGCCGCGTTAAATCTTGGGGCCAGCTATCCCACTCTTTGAGGTATCTCCAACCTAGCAAGGAGATTAGTCACTGCTGTCGGCCCTGGATACTCCAGGGACGAACCAAAAAAAAAAAAGTGCGATTCAACTATAGTAACGTTTATGCATAACTTTTTTTTTTTTTTCCCATTGTTTAATCTGAACTCATTTATAACAGCTAAACGTACTCCTTAGAATCGGAGTTGTGCATTAAATCAAATGATATCAAATATGTAAATTATATATATATTAATTCTATTTCATATTATATATATATATATATATATTATTCCAATAATATTTAGTCTTTATAATTAAAATCTTAATTCCATTTCATTATATATATATAAATTATTCTTATAATTTTATAAATTTTATTTTTTAATTATTATAGTAATAGCTAGACGATAAAGATTAAAAGAAAATAAATAACATACATCATAACGAAAATGATTTTATTTTTACAATAAAAATTAAAAGATAAAGTTACTCAACTATAGGGAAGAAAGGTATATTTAAATCTATTAAAAATACAAAACAGATCAAATCCAAGAAACTAAAAGGGAAATCGTTTATCGTGGGGGCAAACACTATTCTGTCCAGCAATGTGCTATTGACCTTTACGTGACAAATCTGCTATGTTAATATTCTTTATGCTGTCCAGCAATCGTATATGATTGTTATGTTTGCTAGTCTTGCTTCCTGTTATATGCTTCACAAAGTGCTTCCAATAATTTGCTCTTGCACGTTTTTCTTTGGGGATTGAGATTCAACATCGAAGTTCGAGCCATCTTCTCCACGGCAATATTCCTCCATTCTCAGTGAAACGTACTCCACTTTTTCACCATATCTTCCAACCATAACCAAGTAGAAAGACAATGCGAAAAGGGTGACTCCAATCAACATCCAGCTGAATTGAATGTTCACCAAGGTGGTAGCACGATGAAGGGCCTCATCATCTTTGCATGTGACCAAGTATTCCTTAAGGTGCGTGACGCAACCTTTGGCTTGAAAACCAGGTGTCCAAAGCAGAAACCCCGTCATCATAAGCCACACACCTTGGAAGATAATGCTGACAGAACGAACAAACTTGACCAAGAAGCTCTTAGGGAAGCCAATTCCCATGAGGGTTGTGGCCAGAGAAACAAGGATCAGAAGTTGCAAGAAGAAGTGGTATTGGCTTTCTGGCCCCACGTGATCTCTAGTGTGAAAGCGGATGAGAAGAAACTGTTGTGCAAAAGCTACGGCTCCTAAGAAATGAGTTAACTCATGCTGAGCTTTGGAGCATTTTTTGTCAAGAACTAGGGCAAAGATAGCGTAGACCAAGAAAGACATGGCCATGGAGGAGTGTTCAAAGTTGTGGAGATGGTTGGAGGGAATGGTTCCATCGGGGTCAAAGGGTTGGTGATGAAGGGGAGAAATGAAGAGCTCCAAGGCAATGAACATTGTGCAACTTGCCATGATGAAGTGAAGCTCCAAGTATCTTGATATTGTGGTGGGGAACCATAGGGTTGATGTGTAGGACTTGGAACAAAGGGCATGGAGCTTGACGTGGTTGAAGAAGTGCCATAAACCTATCACAAAGAAACCAAACCCCAAAACTTGATGTCCTTCCAACATAACGCCTGTTACATTAAGCCAACACAAGAAAAAGAAACTTCTTGTTCACCAATGCAATGATAAGCAAATTCCAACACATTATAGCTATAGAGAAAAAGGAAATATGTATAGTAGTGTAGTGTGTGTATTATTTTATCGGTGGGAATTATAACGAGAGATAATAAAGTTCAAATTTAGAATGTCGAGCATACTACTCCAAACCTGAAATATGTGTATACTGTTCTTAAAAATCAAAACCAAATGATTAAGAAAGACTAACACTCAACTGATGTTGCAAAGGCGAAGCCAAATGAGACGATGTTTTATAGGGCTCTTGTTTTGCAACTTGATATTGTTTATTCAATGCAGATGAAGTTGGTTATGACGAGGATTAGAAGTGAAAGAGTTGGTATTTTATGCAAAAAAAGAAGAGTCCAGGGACAATTGAAAGTTGGGTTGTTAAACAGCTTTTCCATTAATATAATTATATCATAATATTTATATAATTTTACCATTCTGATGAATGTTGGGTTGTTCAAAAGTGCTTTTCCACATTAATATAATTCTTAAGGAATATTTCAGGCCAACACCCGTAGTATCATAATATTAACATAGCTGTATCAATCGGAAAGTTAGGTTGTTAAGCTGCTTTTCCATTAATATATTTGTTAAGGAAATTTCAGGCTTTGCACGTGTGGAATTTTATGTTAATATTGTATTAATATATAGGTCCAATATAAATTTCTTTAAGATGAAAAGTTTGCCTCTTTTCTGTATATTCTTTTTAGTTTTTTCTACTCTAAACATTACTGAGTATAGCAATGCTATAATTTGAATCATATATAATTAAATTATTTGGTATAAAGAGTGTCGAATAATATTACACTGTTAATTTCTTTTTTCTGTCAATTTATATAGGTAAAAAGTAACGGAATTTAGATTAAAATGATTTTTAACATTTTATACATAATTATTTCTTTTCTTTTCACGAGGCAATTTAATTATCATGGCTTTTTTAAAAAGATGATAAATGACTATTATTCCATGTCATAGCAAAACCTCACACATATATCCACGAAAGATTTCATTCTATAATTCAATTTCAACGATAAAATTACCAAATTAAAAAATTTTAATGTATAGATAAAATATATATAAATTTTGAAAATTATTTAATATTTTATTTTATTACTTTAAATTGATAGACAATCATAAAAATATTTTATATGTTAATTTGAGTTTATATAACGAAGTATTATATGATTTTTAAATTTATTAAAAATTTGTAAACTTAATTTATATATATTTTTTTTAATTTAATAGTAAGATCGTTGAAATTTAATACATATCATAAATTATTAAGTGAATTAACTTTACTAATATAT